ACACCGGGGGGAGCGGGGGACATCGGGGGGAGCAGGGACATCGGAGGGAGCGGGTTAGGGGACTGGGGAGAGGGAGGGATTGGGGGTTCAGGGGCTCAGGGGGCTCGGGGTGATTTGGGACACGAGGGGGACTTAGGGGAGCTCGGGGGCAGGAGGACACGAGGGACTTTGAGGACAAGGAGGGCACGGGGAGGTCCAGGGGGGCACAGGGGGCTCAGGAGCAAGGGGACATGGCTTGGGGGCACGAAGGACTTTGGGGACAGGGTGGGCATTGGGAGGTTGAGGGCACAGGGCATGGCGGGGCTCAGGGCACACTGGAAGTTTGGGGGACATGAGGGGACTTGGGGAGTTTGAGGATTTCGGGGAGCCTAAGGATGTGTGGGGACAGGGAGAATTTGGGGATTCTGGGGACCCTGAGGTCTTGTGGGGACAGGGAGAATTTGGGGATTTTGGGGACACTGGGGACCCTGAGGTTATGTGGGGACAGGGAGAATTTGGGGATTTTGGGGACAGGGAGAATTTGGGGATTCTGGGGACACTGGAGTCCCCGAGGTCGTGTGGGGACAGGGAGAATTTGAGGGTTTAGTGGGCTCAGAGGTGCTTGAGGGCACACGGGTCTCCTGGGACTTGTGGGAACGGGGGAGGACACGCGTGTGGCCGTGCCGGGCGTGGTGACAGCGCCGCGGTGGCTGTGGTGACACGGTGACGCTGTGGCCGTGGTGACGGGGTGACGGGGTGGCCATGGTGACGGGGTGACGGGGTGGCCCTGGTGATGGGGTGGCCAGGGTGACACGGTGACAGGGTGGCCGTGGTGACGGGGTGTGGCCGTGGTGACAGGTGTACGTGGCCGCCTTCGCCGTGTCCGCCTACGCCTCCACCTACTACCGGGCGGGCAGCAAACCCTTCAACCCCGTGCTGGGCGAGACCTACGAGTGCGTGCGGCCCGACCGCGGCTTCCGCTTCATCAGCGAGCAGGTGGGCACCGGGGGGTCCTGGGGGGCGCCCGGGGCCGGGCGGGGCGCTGGCATGTCCCTCCTTGTCCCCCCAGGTGTCCCACCACCCCCCAATCTCCGCCTGCCACGCTGAGTCCGACAACTTTGTCTTCTGGCAAGGTGAGAGCCCGGGAGGGTGTTGGGCGCTGGGAGGTCCCCCCAGAGTGGGGGGACAGGGGGGGTCTCACCTCCTCCTGTTCCTCCTCCTCCAGACATGAGGTGGAAGAACAAATTCTGGGGCAAATCCCTGGAGATCGTCCCCATGGGCACCGTCAATGTCCAGCTGCCCAGGTGAGACCCCAGCCCCACAGATGGGCTCCCCCACCTCCGCCCCCGTGCCCCCCTGCCCTCCGTGCCCACCCACGGGGGCGGTGCCCGCAGGACCGGGGACCACTACGAGTGGAACAAGGTGACCACGTGCATCCACAACGTGCTGAGCGGGCCGCGCTGGATCGAGCACTACGGGGAGGTGCTGATCCGCAACACCCGCGACGCCTCCTACCACTGCAAGCTCACCTTCTGCAAGGTGTGCCCCCCGCCCCGCCCCTTCCTGCCCAGGCCCCGCCCACCCACTGCCCTGGCCCCGCCCCTCTGCATTATCGTGGTCTGGCCCCGCCCCATCACTGACTTGGTAATTAAAGGCTGTGTTGTTGCCCTTTTCCCAGTCGCCCCGCCCTTTACAAATGACCCCACCCATCATAGCCCCACCCCTTCCCAGTGACTCCCCCCCTTCCAGAAGCCTCCACCCATCACTCATTGCCCCTCCCTTTTCCAATAGCCACGCCTCTCCCAGCGGCCCCACCCTTTCCCAGTAGCCACGCCCCTTTCCAATTACTCCAGCCTTTCCAGAAGATTCCTCCTCATGGCCCCACCCTCTTCCCAAGAGCTCCACCCTTTCCTAGGACCCCACCCTTCCCTAATGACCCCACCCTCTCAGAGCCCCGCCCTCTCCCACTGGCCCCACCCTTCCCCACCGACCCCGCCCCACCGTGGCGGCCCCGCCCCGGCCCCGGTGGCCCCGCTGAGGCTGCGGCGGCCGCAGGCCCGGTACTGGGGCGCGGGGGCCAACGAGGTGCAGGGCGCCGTGCTGAGCCGCAGCGGGACGGCCGTGGAGCGCCTGGCGGGCAAGTGGCACGAGGGGCTGCACCGCGGGCCCGCCCCGGGCCACTGCGTCTGGAGAGCCAGTAAGGAGCCGGGGACGCCGCCCTGGGGGGGTCACCCCAGCCCGGGGGGGCTCTCACTGTCCCCACGCCCCCCGCGCAGACCCCATGCCCCGCGACCACGAGAGGAGCTACGGCTTCACGCAGTTCGCGCTGGAGCTGAACGAGCTGACGCCGGAGCTGCGCCGCGTGCTGCCCTCCACGGACACGCGCCTGCGGCCGGACCAGCGGTCAGCACCCCCGGGCCGCGGGCCGGGCCGGGCCGGGCCGGACCGGCCGGCCGCTCACGGCCGTGTCCCGTGTCCCCCCAGGTACCTGGAGGAGGGGAACGTGCCGGCGGCCGAGGCGCAGAAGCGGCAGATCGAGCAGCTGCAGCGGGACCGGCGCCGCGTCATGGAGGAGAACAACATCACCCACCAGGCACGCTTCTTCAGGTCTGGGGGCTGCCGGGGCTGGGTCGGGGGCATGGGGAGACCTTCCGGGGGTCCTGAGGGCAGCTCGTGGCTCAGGGGATGTGGGGCTCTCAGGGGGATGCAGGGGTCTTAAGGGATGGGGAGACCCTTCCCAGGAGTCTTGAGAGCGTGGCTCAGGGGGGTGTGGG